GTATCTTTTATATTATATTATTTATAAATATATATAATATGAATAGTATGCCGCCATCATATAATAGATCGCGTACTACCTAATATATTATATTGTATGTATTTGTTTCGTACCTACGGTTTATAATCCAATAAATAATAGCGTGATTATTATATTATTATTATTATCACCCGACACGTGTATAAAAATATATAATCATCATTGTCGTGTTTTGACAGGTATGTTGACAGTTCCCATTGCCGAGGTGACGTGGCCCATGATATTGGTCCTGGTGTCGTTGCTGTCCGCTGCCATCGGCGCCCTCTTCATGGTCGTCTTCCTACACCTAAAACTGTGAGTATCCATCTACTGATTTATAGTCTATACCTACCTATTATTAGTATTATAATACGTGTTTTTTTTTTTATTATATATTGTCAGGTTTTTATTTGGTTTTTGTCAACGCTCGTTCCTCGTATTTTTTCCTCCGTACACACTGCACCACCCTTACCGCCATCATATTATGCCATCACATCGTATCCAGGCACAATAATGTATATTATTATGATGACGGACGACATATACGATCATAATATGATGGTGTGTAAAGCGGATGGTTTACGAGCAGACTTTTGTTTTTTTTTACGACGGTGTCAGCGTTTTATAAAAATTACCGCCTAGCTAAAATATACATCGATAATAATAACGATTTTGTAATATTATGTGCGTGTACATAATATTACGTTTAGGTAGGTATATACGAAAAGCGAGATAGATAATTTACAACCACTCGGTGACAATAATAATCATTACAAGCCTTTTTACGATCGAATGTATAGGTACGCACACGCATTATATTATTATAATACATAAATATACTGCAGCCACGCGYACTATGTATAGTAATACACTAATATAATGTGCATAGGTGTACACGCGTTTAATGTACGTATGAAATTATAAATGATAAACATATAAAATATATAAGGGACATTTTTTTCTCGATATCGTCGCAGTATGTCTCGTGTATACAACTATACGGTATAATAATAATAATATATATCATAGGTACTTACCTACGACGCATACAAACTCACGCACACACACACACACACACACGTCGTCGGTTTTATGTATGCGCTGCGCACCTATATTATGTCGTGCCATTATATTGTGTTTATATATTATGCGATACTTGCCCACACGCGATACACGCCGCACACGTATATACCTACCATGTATACTGCACATAATATTATTATTATAACGTATGCTGTAAAATACGGTATTGTAAAATGTCAGTGCGCGCTAATGTGACTTCGCCTACGCGCGTAATGCTGGTACGCCGGTGAGCACACATACCACTAACCGCACTAACCACACTGTATATGCCATCGTGTGATCTTCGGAGCAGTCGTATGTAATAAATGAAGCACGCCGCATTTACGTCACGTGATATATAATACGTACTTTAGCGCAAGCAACAAGCGCACTTTACACGACGTATATAGGTACGCGCGCCTTGCACGCATGTGATATTGTGCGCGGCGTGTTCGCGAAACATAATATTACACAGCGCGCAACATCGTTTAGAACGCGCGCGCAACATCGTTTCGAACGCGCGCGCGAGCCCTGCAGGACGTCCGCCCGGCCGCTAATATTTTTGCACGTGATGCCTGTGCGCGCCCCGTCGATTAGCGCTCGTAAACTTGTCGCGCGGCACCGTCCGGAATATGACAATAATAATATCATGTTCATCCATCGTAATAATAATGACTCAGAAGGGGGGGGGGCCCGTTTTATTTATTCCGATTTAAACGAAATTATATTTGGCCGGATTTCGCCCCAAAACAGTGGTCGCGACGTGAACCTGCTTTACGGGCATGGACCAGCTGCGCCTAAAACAAAATTTGTATTTCGGGTCAGTATATATATACCAATTGCGCTGCTTATATTTTAGGACATGTTTTTATTAATTCACATTTTTACAAAAGTTTATTCTAGGCGTAATGTTATAATAGCAATTTATTAAATTTGAATTATACATGTGTGGGTATTATTGGGTATAGATGTATACCGAATCTACATTGTAGATAATACATCTATATAATATTAATATTTGTAGACTCTACATTTTTATTGAGCGCAATTTTATTGGTCTATCGACCCAAAAAAGACGGATGTCGAAAGGTCATTTTAAGCGCAATTGATAAACTCTCCAATAATATACAACATGATAGTACCTACGCGTTCCTATAAATGTAATAATAATAATAATATTAATGTACACATTTACGATCGCCGTCTTTCTGGCGGCTCGGACATACACATCACAAGCGCGTGCGTAAAATTTACCGCGTCGTCGACGTTTATAACAGGTGGCAGGTCCGTTTTTATTAAGTATTATTATGTTTTTTATTTTGTATATTATATAGATACGGAGAGGTACGCCCACTGTTCACTCGAGGGCTTTATAATAATAATCGTTATATTATTATATATATTATATTACAGGTACGCGCGCGCATTTCGTACCCGGTCCAYACATAAATAATAATAATAGTAATATAGTAATATAATAATACATATATGTATAGTATATATAGTATGGCGCGTTTGTAGTAATTATCCCGACCGAAAAACGAGATTATAATATTATATTATTATATACATACACATTCCTATAACGAACCCATCGATTTTTAACTATTCGATTCCCGCTGTAGCGACGCAATCTGCTATATTCGGCTATTCGTATACATTATAATATACACATCTATATATTATAATAGWAATAATAATGAGCAATATATTATACGTGGTTATTATATTATCAGATTTGACTTGGTACCGTAAAATATACTATMTATAGGTATATGTTAGCATGGTATATACATTTTTTTTTCATTTATATATGCACACGTACATAATATTATAATGCTATACAAAATATATATGTATATATAGGTACTGTTCAATTGTACAGGGGTGAAATCCAACGAAATTCGTGATGCACGAATTCGAAAAACCATTTTTCGAAAAATAAAAATTCAAAACCATTCGCTTTTACAAAATAATTTATGTATTTTATATAAGACGAAATGATTTAAAACGTTTGACGAATACCCGTATGACGTGTGATCGATCTATTGATTTTTTTTATACACTTAATTATTGAGATGTTTTATACCAGCAATTTTCGGATTGGGGGTCGCTAATTATTGTTTTATGATGACCAATACTTAGAATTTAAAAAAAAAATTTAAGTAATTTTTTTATGTAATTATCATCATATAGGATAATAATTATTGGTATATTAAGATCAAAGTTATTTTAGTTTATTACGAAAAAATTATTACAATTTTTCTAAATGTATTGTACATACTTCATCACATGTATACATTAACAATGCTGTAGCCATAATACGCACTGGAAAATGTAATGATCTTGTAACATGAATAATGATTTAAAAAAAATCGCTATCATCCTCATAATAGTAATAGTCATACAGGTAAAAATATACTTTCAATTCATTGTTTCATTTATCTATAGTAATTAGTAGTTATAGATATGGGTGAAAAAGTATGTGATGTTGTGAATGTATGCTTTATGCGTAGAATAATAAACCTCATTCGAGCCATTGCAGTAAATATTCGTATTTTTAAAGTTGTTGGATGACCAAATGGGTTCAGCTGGTTCA